ATGATGCGTTAACAGTTTTGGGGTGAATACATTAGAAGACAGATGCAATTCATACCACACCATCCACATTCATACAAATTCAAATGAACCCTGAGTTTTTGCTTATTTTTCTGAATGAAAATCAAGTGAACTTTAATCTGTCATTGCCCGAAATCTCTTCCAAGTAATCTAATGACAAATTCCTAGACCATTGAAGTTCCACATTCTAAATCCTAGCAATAATCACACCACAGTTTGTTCAAGAGGTTCAAGTCTAATTTTCAATATGGCCGCCACAGCAGCCATATTGAAAAAGGGTGAAGAGATAGCCTAGTGGTTAAAGTGTTCACCCGGGTTTGATTTTCCATATGGGTACAATGTGTGAATTTCTGGCATTCCCCTTCTGTGATATTGCAGAAATATTGATACGAGCAGTGTAAAACTCACTCACCCATATTGAAAAAGTTGTTTATTTCCGTTACTCAAATATTTGTTTTAAGAATATAATAAAATTTGGTAAATCGGTCGTAATTAGTTGAGCTCAAAATACATGCTCTCTTGTTTCCACATTTTACAGTTTGACCATGTCTTTACCAAGCACTGAAATTATTTCACTAGGCACATGCAACCTTTTTTAAATAGCTAGCCCAAGCTTGGTAACTTTTAAACTGTTCCCAACAGCAATTATGTTTAAGTATCGATTTTTGTTGACTTGTTGAATAGTTGACTACATAAACAGGTGAGCAACAGCGCTCTGACACAATTATTTTCTTTTCCTTTTAGTCAGATACTGAGCAAAAAAATGTCTGGAAAACAAGAGTCATAACAACATCTATCTTAAGGACAGATGTTGCTTGGGAACTATATTTTGTGAGATTATGTAGGGAGGACCTACTACAGAGATCACTCTTCAGTGTTTACGTTGGTAACTTCATACAGATAGACTCCAAGGTGACTGAGAACTATGTGTTGAGACAAACAGTGCTGGTGACGCCATGTAGTAAACATCTCCTCTCACCATTATAGTTGCCAGATTTGTTTACCATATATTCTACTCAAAATAAGTTAAGAACACCTGATTATTCCATATGCTTATAGTCAATCTGTTATAAAAAAAATTGTTTGTTCCTTAACTTTTTTGAGTAGTATATATTTTGTGGCACAATACATACTCTGTGTTACCTAATTACTAGGGTAATGTCTCATTTCTTTGCTGTTCAGGTTTAAGTGTATGTGTTTTTAGATCAGGTTGGGAATCCTTACGTGAAGACTTTTTATGCTTGAAGAAATGACTTTGAACATTGTGCGAGTCTAACATGCCACTGTTGCCCTGGTTGAATATTAGTGTGTCAAGCTCATATCTCCTGTCTCCAGTGTTGATAGACTGTACAAGAAGAAGTTGAGACAGTTTTGCTTTCCAAGATGGCTGACTGAATGACAGCCATTGCACAAGTTGACGTTATGCCAGATGAACCCATCTCTGCTTGTTACATACTATGGCCTTCATTTCTCACAAGTGCGCACAGTGCATGCTTGATATATTGCACATCACTGAATGAGACTATCTGGCCAACAGCAGCACCGACTGTCTTGTCTCCTAACAGCACTCGACACACAACTTAGTACAACAACACCAACTGTCTTGAATCCTGAAAAAACTTAAACACACAACATGGAGATAATCTGCAGATAATCAAACAGAGGCTGGTACTATATAGCACAACACTATCTTGACTCTTGAAAAACACTCAGCACACAACCTGGCCCAGCCCTGCCCTGCCCTGCCCTGCCCTGCCCTGCCCTGCCCTGCCCTGCCCTGCCCTGCCCTGCCCTGCCCTGCCCTGCCCTGCCCTGCCCTGCCCTGCCCTGCCCTGCCCTGCCCTGCCCTGCCTGTTGGAAACACTACCTGACCCAAAGCCTGCAGATAATGAAACACAACCTAGACACAACACTGAATAACACTTGCACAACAATACCAGAAAATCACCAACCTGCACACAGTTCATGTCACAAAGGGGCGGTGTGGGTATACACTTGCACAATAGCAACGCCCGTGATGTTGCTGGGATAGAAAAAGACGTTCTTATATCTGCACAATATATATTTATGAACATCCAGCATGTCAAGCAAATAATTTTGTTGCAAACCCTGGGCACAACTTGCTAATTTTCTATGATTTCATAAAAAAAAATCTATTTCCTCCCAATACTCCACAGGTTAAGAAATAAGAACCAAGCCGCTCTTAATAAATTTCAAAATTACTTTTGATGACCATGAAGGTAACTTAACAGAAACATCCTTGTCAAAGGTGCATGGCTTTGGCTCTAGTGTGGGCCAGGTATATTAAATAAGCTGTATTAATGAAGCCAGGACATTTAGTAGGTGAAGTACGGTGTTATGGAATAGGTGTACTGTGGCACTTACTGGGACAGCATCACAGGTTTAGAGAAACTGTATATTGTCGTGTTTATTCTGACTGTTTTTCATACCTGGAATTAGAAGCATTTGATGTGGCTTATGCACTGAATAGAAGAAGGTCTCACACTTTTTCCAGTGGTATTACTTTCAGGCTCTCTTGGCGATGTCAGCTGGTATAACCACAGATGTTGCTTATGACAGTAAAACTTTGCATTTTTTTCAAAACAGCTGTTGATTATTATTACTTTGGCATATAAAGTTCCATTGTTACAAATTCCTTGTTTATATTATACATTTTCTGTAAATATAGTTTTCATGAGCCTAGCTTTGATCATGATTGCCAAGCCAGCTGACACAGTGAAAAAGAACAACAGTCATTATCATATTCCCTATAGTAAATGCCTTATATCAATAAAGTCAGTAATTACTTTCATATGAGAGGGCAGTGGGGTAGCCTAGTAGTTAAAGCATTGGCTTGTCACACTTAAGACTTGGGTTCGATTCTCCACATGTGTACAATGTGTGAAGCCCATTTCCGGTGTCCCCTGCCGTGAGATTGCTGGAATATTGCTAAAAGCGGCGTAAAACCATACTCACTCACTACTTTCATATAACATCTTTTTTTATTCATATAACATAAAATATTTTCATATTTGGTACAGAGCTTACTGCTGTGTGGAAAGATTGTTGCATTTTTGTTGTTGACCTTATTGGTTACAATAATACATTATTGATTACAGTATTTTGAAAATGCCTACTGTTATGGTAAATGTTAGTGAAACAATCAGTCGCCTTATCTAACTGTCATCTCCCAAATTAGAGTTTCCTTGACATTTTAACTAGTTCATTTTCCCCCTGACGTCAGATTGAAATAATTGTTTATGAGTTCAATAAGTGCCCTTTTGTCAATACCTGAGTTTTGATTTCCTGTGGCACTATTTTCAGTGTTATTGTGGTAGGTGATCAAGTGCAGTAGCCATGTATCCCTACAGCTACGATAGAGTTCCCATCTCTGGCAGGTAGGAAGATCCACAATGACCTTGAGCATCCCCTTGTGGTCCGCCAAGTGTGGGAGGGTGTCTTTTCACAAGGAGAGACCTAATTGTTAACAGGTTAGGTGGAACAATGTCGGTAGACGAGGGCACTAATGAATGTTGGTGAAGATGCTTCGTGTAGGTGGTGAAAGAATAGACACTGTTGTTGCTGAATAAACAGACCTGGCTTCACCAACAACTCAAGCAGAGGATGGGAGGGACTGGAAATCTATTAGTGGTACTTTCTGTGATAGATTGTTGAAACAATGGAGAGGAAAATACAAAATTAGGCTACTTTCTCTCTGATGAGAGAGATGATAATGGAAGAAAAGCTAAAAATGTAATATGTGTTTCATCATACTAAGAAGGAAGTCAAACTTGTGAATATACACAAGTGGTCAATTGTAGACAATTCAGTCTTGTGTCTTTCAATCTTAATAATAATAATAATGTCTTTCAATCTTGTGTCATTCAGTTTTATGTTAACCAGTAGGGGTGGGTATTGCAGAGAAGTTTCATATTGCGATATATTGCAATGCGAAAGCATATATTGCGATATATATTGCAATATATTGCAAGAAGTATTTTTAAACATAAAACTACTTGTAATCGAGTTAAAGCTTGATTTATACAGCAAAAACACAACCAAATAACTATGCTTGATTAAGCTTCAACAACAACCTTTAATCATGACAAAATAAAAATGTAAATAATATTTGGCACAAATGAAACAAGGAAATATCCGAAGATTTCCGAGTGTTACGAAGTTTTCCGAATGCAAGTAGAAATACCGTTTTTTGATCAGCGTATCGCAATACGTATCGTTTTCATGTCTGAACCGGTAAATACCGGTAAACCAGATATTGCACAGCCCTATTAACCAGTCTTATATCTTTCTGCCGTGTGTCAACCAGTATTATTATCTATGTTGATGTTGATGTTAGTGTTGAAATTAATGTTGATGTAGAAGTTGTTGATGTTGAAGCTGATATAGTTGATGTTTAGAACTGATGTTGATATTACCTACAGAGCTCTAGATAAGCTTTTTGCAATCTTGGTATCTTACCCATGGTTATAAATGGGTACTATTGATCTTCAGTGGACACTCAAATTTCTGCCTGATCCATTCGTAACATTTTACAGTTAGCTACTTTCTGTTATGCATTTGTTTTTTACTGGTAAGTCAGGGTACGTAAGTCATTAACTAACCAAAGCATTTCTGTACTTTCCTTTGCAGATTTGGGACGATACAGATATTTCAGGGCATAGTTTGGAAAATTCAATGCATATTTTTCGCAGATACGCAGCTTATCTAGACTTGTGTTACTGACATTGAAGCAGAAGCTGATGCTGTTGATGTTGACAGACTGACTGCTGACTGACTGAGTGGCGTGGCGAATAGATGCTTTAACCATGAAGCTGATGTAGTTGATGTTGATGTTGACGTTGAAGCTGATGTAGTTGATGTTGAAGCTGAAGCTGATGTAGTTAATGTTGAAACTGATGTTGATGCCAATGTCAGTGTTGTCAGTGTTAAAGTCCAGTTTGATTTCCTTATGCCATGTCCAGATCTAGACCGCTGCTCCAAGGAGAACTGTCTCATCATTCCAGTGTTAATATGGTGTGGAATAAACTTGGGTATCACAATTCTTGGTGCTGCTCTTGTAACATATGTCCAGGTGAGTCATACACTTTGCTCAAAATATTTTCAGAATATTTCAGCGAGAATAGAATCTTTTGGCCTTTTGACTGTCTTTTGGTTCACAGTCCCAACTGTGTCATTTTCTTCCTTCTACTTCGGCTGTTGTCTATGTACTCGGTATTAGCAACAGGAGGGGCATGTTCCAGGGTGATGTACACAGTTTCTAATATCAAATAGATGTTTGATAGGCATTTAGAAGTTGGTAGGCTAATACAGCACACTTGATATGGATGTGCAACTTCTTTATTCTTTACACACGACGTTTCTGGGCTAATACTAGTCTAGCCCAGTATTAGCCCAGAAACGGCGTCGTGTGTAAAGTTGCACATCCATATCAAGTGTGTTGTATTAATATCAAATAACATTTCAATTATATTATATTTGGGACATACTTACAAATAATAGCATATAAAAAAGTCTCATTCCAAACATTTAAACATTAAATTCTTTTTAAAGTTATTCAAGTCGATCACTTGATTGCCTGTTCCTGACATGATGTTTTACAGGCCTCTAATATAATACTTCAATATTGAAAATTGCATAACTGAATTTGATAATGACTCTGAAAACATAATTGGTCAGATTATTCAAAACTGTTAAATAATTTTTTTGTATGAGCAGAAGCAGATTATACACATGAGTCAAAAAGGGGAAAACCTACAATTTGCATATTTCGTCAAATAAAATTCAAATTTTGGTTATTTATCTTTTCAGCCCAAAGCAGCTGGCAGTGGCATTCCATTAATCAAGTCCTACCTCAACGGAGTTCGTATTCCAGGACTGCTAACAATGGGGGGTTTCATCTCCAAAGTTTTAGGGGTCATTTTGTCCATCCTAGGGGGTCTGGCGTGTGGAAAGGTGAGAAACAATTAAAATTTATTTTCAGTAACACCTTCCCCATAACTATCATGGTTAGAACTGGTATTCAGCAACCCAAGTTTGTTTTGAGAGGCAACAGCAAGATTTTGTGTTCAGACCTGATGTTTTGGTTGATGCATGTTATCTTAACCCAGTTTCCTAGATCAATGCTCATGATGTTGATCACTGGAGTGCTTGTTCCAGATTTGATTATACTTAGACCTTCATTATATAATTTGGAATATTACACAGTGCAGCATTAAATAATAAACAAGACAAAAAACTGAAAACATCTTGCTCGTCAGATTGATGTGTCTGTTGAATAATTGAAAAAGAGACATAAATAATAATGTAAACATAACTTTATGGTAGCTTTGTCATATTTAGATTAATTCTTGCAAATAGAATCTGGGTGTTATTTATTGGTCAAGCTTGTTGACAGAGTGTACATTACTGAGATAGAGATTTAGCAAGTTTACAAGTGTGAAATGTGCTGATATTTTCAGGAAGGTCCTATGGCTCACTCAGGTGGCATCATGGCTGCTGGTCTGGGGAAGGGGAGGATACACTGGTGTGGGAAGAAGAAGAAGGAAATCAGGGTAGGTAACTCTCACTCTCTAGCTCACTTCAGGGTGGGTTACTCTGGTTGTGCATGTAAAGGTAGGTAACTCTCACTCTCTACGCTCATTCTCAATAAACCGTTGCATTGATGTCTCTGGTTATTTATCCTAAAACAACAGTGTCCTTGATTAATCTAATGATTGGATTAAATGTAGTGGTACTTGGGTGCACTGTAGCAGGCATCCATTCAGTTTATTTATGTAAACTTCAAAAGCGCAAGGGAAGGATATTACTGATTTTGTAATGTATGTTACTGTCTCCAGGCTGAACTGACAAAAGTCATTGGCTTTGTTTTAATGAATTCTGCAATAAATATCATAACTAAAGTACTATTATGATAAACGAGATATGTGACAATACATTTCTATTAAGCTCCAATGATGTGATCGTTTTGCGGATTTTGCAGAGTATGTTATAACTGTGTCTCCAGTTTTCATGCAACACACCTAACTAACTTCATAAATACATTGACGCATAAACAATATTTACCGAGTAAAAACAATTATTTGGGTTTATTTTAAGTGATAATAATGTACTTTACAAGAAAATAATATTTGGTTCTTACATAAGAATCGTTTAATGTTTCTACACTCATTTTATGTGTCATTATTCAATGGTTATGGTTAAGGATGTAACGTGCATTGACCACCAACTGTTCCTCAACTTGAGATTAAATAAATATAGGTCATTATTAAAATAATGCATGAAGTTGTTTTATGCAACATGTCATAAAATGTGTCAAGTTTGACAAAAATGGGATCAATAAGGACAAACTTGTACATGACAGAAATGTAACGTTACCGTAATGTAATGCTACCATCAGATACCAAACTGCCAACAACGGGCGATGAACGTGAAACAGCTTGTTTTGAAACACGTGGAGTGACATAGCTATATTGCATACGCCATTAGAACGCATCGACAGCTTCGACCATATCTTACTTAATTTAAAAGATTATCAACAAATTTGGTAAGTGCTTTGGGTGTCTTTTGTAAGGATAATATGAGGGTGACTAAATATCTGAAAAGTTACTTTATCTGCACATTGGTTCCTCATCTGTAGCCCGTACTTTCTGGAAGAAATGTCATTTTGGTGAATCTTATGCGAAATACGTTGTATGGGTGTTACTGAAAGTGTAATGTACGTTACAGTTGAGTAACGTATATTTCAATCGAATTGTCAAATGAAATTTCAGTGATACTTGTATGATATCTTGCGAAAGTAAATGTTGTCTTTTGAAGGACATGTTGACATGACTCTATTCATTCATACTTATACCATTCTTGTTTGCATTAAGATCCATGGAAACCTCCATAACATATAATTACTACTGTTCGTCCTTGTTGATAGTAACATGACACATTTCCTGACAGTGTGCTCAACTAACATATTGTCAAGCTGATGTTATTATATCAGTGTGCACATAGATTTACTCTGTCTACTACTTAAGCTATTTAACCTGTATTCATGTGAATCTGTTACTAAGAAACACATGCAAAACATCTGGTAATGTATAGTTCTTCGAGAAGAAGAAATATATGTTTCAGTGGCACAAACGCTAAGATGTAATCTGGGTGTCGCGATCAGATATTTTGAGTAAAGCAGTTCCTACTGGCAAGTCTCAGAGAGAATGTTGAGCGAAAGTGAGCGAAGTTAAGATTTAAAGTCACATCGGCAATATTTCAGCCATATCCTGACTACCAACAAGCAATAATTTTAGACTAAATAAAGGTAAATCAGCGAAGGACAGTAAAACCAACTAGAACATCACAGATATAAGTATATAACTAGTATGTAATTCTAAAAGCTTAATTACAGAAGACAATACAATACGGGCACGGGCTATACATCGCCAACAATTGAAGGTAGATCACCATACTAGGAACCATGGGGGCTTACAGTGCTTTTGCTACCTGCATGGACCCTAGCTAGATTTACACCACCCTTAATACGCTGGCTGGCATGTAAGAAAAATTCAGCCATAATTTAAAATAACAAATATACCACATTTAAAAAGGTGGAAAGTTGAAATTGACTTTGAAGGTTTTGGGACCTCTGTGTTCTCTCTAGAGGACAATGATTTTACGATACTTTAACCCCCTTTGAGGATACAGCCACTAATAATCGTAGTTCACTGTTGCTTATTTAAAATATAATTTATAAAATATAATTTATGTATTCACAAAACATATGGTTCAGAATTTATCTAGTAATTCTATTTCCTTTACAAAAACAATTATTAAATGATAATTATTATTATAAAAAGATCCTTGATTGTTTTGACATTGAAATATTTGTCCCTTGTGATGGAAAAATCAATACAGTCAATCAGGACATGCTTGACCGTGATTCTCTCATCACAAGGGATACAAAACGCAGGATCATCGCCTTTTAACAGGTATTCATGAGTATATTTTGTATGGCCAATGCGACATCGTCGCATGATGACCTCTTCAAATCTGGACTGACAACCTAAGTAGGTGTAACCAATATAGGGTTTTATGGCATGTAATGTATTGATACCTATTTGAGTGTCCCACTTCTTCTACATCAGATCATGGATGTACAATCTAATGACAGCTTTGTATAGAATGAGAAGTGGTGTCACAGATTTGGTGAGTGCTGCCTTAGCAGCAAAATCGGCCATTGTGTTACAGAGAATGTTGAAGTTGGATGAACACGAAAAAAAGTTTTGTTTTGGTTGTGCAGGCATTTCAATCCTGGATAGATTCACTGTAATGTACGTTACTTGAAACGGAAGTGTTGGTTACATATTGAGGAACAATTGTTTGTTCAAGTTAATTTGCATTATTGCAGTTTGAGTTCTTTGCTACATAAGAGTAATTGCTTCAAGCAAAATCAAAACATTTTGATATATGTGTTGAATACATTGACTTATTGTTTCAACTGAAATGTACGTTAGCTGTTTATGATTTTACATTGTCAGTCTAATCTTTGGATATCATGTCAATTACCTTTAACATACTATGGAAACACTTCTACTGTACTTTTGAGGTGTCAGGAGTATATTTTATATGTGCGAGTCACATTTGACATTATACGCAATTCATTGTAATGTACGTTACAGTATGCATCATTCTGAGTTGGGTGGATAAGCTGTGAACACAATAGTTAAAACAGGTTTTCTAGTCATTCATTTTCTTAGCAATGTGTTGGGTTGCATTTCCATGGACATGTTCTTGCTTTCTAATGATTATTTTGCAACCACACAATGGTAATATTAGATGCCTTCAACAAGATGAACTAGAAAACTGCAACATGATGTGTTGGTATGTTCATTACACCCCAGATGTAAGTGACACGTCACATTTATTGGGGTATGTGAATCAGTTTTGATACGTTTAGGTCTAACTGTCATGTCTCGTACATTTATCTGTGTACTGATACTAATGATTTAAACAGAACTTTCTTCAAAGATTGATAGGTTGCTGGTAACGTACATTACATGTTCCAAATTTGCTGATTAGTACTGGTAAAGTTGGATGGAGATTTCTGAATAAAGGATTTGACTTTATATGCTAATTTTTGCTGTTCTGTATACTTGAAAACCTTTATAACAAAGACAACGTCTTTTAATTCCAACTGCATGACATTTATATTTTTCAATTTGCGTGTGGTAAATGCAACGGTTTATTGAGAATGGGTGTCTAGCTCACTTCAGGGTGGGTAACTCTGGTTGTCCATGTAAGGTAGGTAACTCTCACTCTCAAGCTCATTTCAGGGTAGGTAACTCTGGTTGTCCATGTAAAGGTAGGTAACTCTCACTCTCGAGCTCACTTCAGGGTAGGTAACTCTGGTTGTGCATGTAAAGGTAGGTAACTCTCACTCTCGAGCTCACTTCAGGGTGGGTGACTCTGGTTGTCTATGTAAAGGTAGGTACTCTCACTCGAGCTCACAGGGTGGGTAACCTCGTAACTCTCACTCTCGAGCTCACTTCAGGGTGGGTAACTCTGGTTGTGCATGTAAAGGTAGGTAACATTCACTCTCTAGCTCACTTCAAGGTGGGTAACTCTGGTTGTGCATGTAAAGGTAGGTAACTCTCACTCTCGAGCTCACTTCATGGTAGGTAACTCTGGTTGTCCATGTAAAGGTAGGTAACTCTCACTCTCGAGCTCACTTCATGGTAGGTAACTCTGGTTGTCCATGTAAAGGTAGGTAACTTATGCACATCGGTGAACCATTTGGGCAAAGAACGAAAAACTGGATTGTCTTTTCTTCTAGTTAAAGAAGTAAATTTCTAAGTGGCACTTAGTAGTTAAGATGTTTAGAAAGACCTTTCTACAATTCTAAAGACAAATGTATTTCTTATATGACACAATTTCTCAGAGACAATTCAAGAGCTGGTCCAATACAAGGTTGACGTTGTAGGATGAATGATTTCTTATGAATTGAATTGCCAGTATTTTCTAATTTGCATCATTTTTGTCAAATTATGGTTGAATGTCATCTGTGGACATTATCAGATTTATGACCAATTCCGGTCGGACCACGAAATCCGTGACTTTGTGGCTGCTGGAGCTGCCTCAGGTGTGTCGGCTGCTTTCGGTGCCCCGGTTGGAGGAACGTTGTTCAGTGTGGAGGAGGCAGCAAGCTTCTGGAACACGGAACTTGTGTGGAGAGTGGTGAGTGTCAAATGGTCATGAATACATGACAAGTTTTATGGATAACAACTTCTTTTTATTCTTTATACGACGTTTCAGAGCTAATTCTTGCTCCTTCATCAACTTCTAAATGCCTTTCAAGAACTGGAGATGGAATTGTTTCTATAGTTTTGGAATAATTGCAGAATGAAAATGTTTTTTAATCTGTGTAGATTATCAGGACAGTGTAGTTAATGTGAAATTTTGTATGGATATCTTTGTACAAAAGAAAGTACGTACTTGGTGCTTTGGGATGAATTTCCAAAATACAACGTAAATATCTTGAAAAGTGTTTTGATTGTGACTTAAAAGAGACAGAAAACATTGTGTATATATTGCCAAAACACCATATATGTTGCAGCCAGTTACAACGTTGCCAACACCTTCCGCTCCAAGACCTGTGTAGACTATTCAGTCCGTGTTGATGGGTTAATGTTTTCATGATATTCCTCTCACATGAGTTGTTCTGGCAACATGTACACAATGTTTGTGGCTTTTATGTAACAATCAAAACACTTTTTAAAATATGTTTGGTCAGTTTTGACTCATATCAAAAACTTTACCGTGTATTTCAGGAAATTATTACATGAAATATGCAGGAACTATGCATCATGTAAAATGACTGTGCTTTGTACTTTCATTTTAATGATTTGGACTCATTTTATCATTTCAGTTCTTCTCCGCTATGATTGCATGTTTCGCCACCAACTTTCTCCTAAGTGCCTTCGAGGGTCATCCCACGCATCTGTCCTCGCCAGGTCTTGTCCGTTTTAACACATTCCCGGTGAGTACATCTTTCACTTCACACACACTGTTATTTTTTTCAATACATTTTCAGGACCAACCCACTCTCCATGGATGTGGACAGTTCTTTCATTTATTTCAATACACTCCTGGAACTGTCTGACTCTCAATGGACGTGGAAAGATCTTTCGTTTGTTTCAATACACTCCTGGAACTGTCTGACTCTCCATGGACAGTTTGTTCATTTGTTTCAATACACTAGAGAGAGAGTTTGCACAGCCATCTGTGGGACTTGTGGCCAGTTGATTACACTGTTTAATAAATATTGTATCCATGTCATGCAGTGGTGCACTTGTTGCCCAGCAGTTGCACATGCGATGTATTGTACAGACCAGACCTGCACCAGCCAACTATTGCTAGGGAGTGGAATTGGATGCAAACATGGCTGTGATGATGTTAACAAACTCAAGCCTCTCTGATCATTGTTACAGGACTCTTGTTATTTGTGGAGAACCTTTATTGATAATGAAAAGTCTATTTATAATGCATCCGATTCCATTCACCAATGAACTCTTATATCTTGTGATTATCATTCTGATCGAAGATTGAGTGTGTGCTTAGGTTTCATTCTCATCTCCTTGGGGAGAATTCAACCAGAGCTTTTAGTTAATGTTTGATTAGAAAATAACCATAAGTTTGGATTGTAGACAAGTAAATGTTATTTTGTTGGTTTGAAGATAAGCTGACCTATAGTAATATTAATAAGTTATTAATTGGAAATGTACTTATTCTGAACATAGCTTTGTTTCTCCCTTTATAGATCAAATCAGACAAACTAAAGCATCATACTTCTAACAGCTATTGAAGAACCTGAGCTAGCTTTCATCGTTATGTCTAGGCTTGATTGTGCCTTTTTGGCTTCACTCTAAAAGCACTTCAGTCCTAATTTCAGAATAAAAAAGGAAATTCATGACCCCAAGTAGCTTAAAAAACAGCCGTATGCATGCACTTATATTTCAAGAGCTGCCTGAAAATCCTTGCTTTTAAGGCCAAAAGGATGTAAGGACTTTTTTTTCCAAAAGGATTTTTTTTTAACAGAAGAGAGAACTGTAAATGATTGAAAATATGTTTGTTTTTGTACCTTTTCAAATGTATGTTTTTGTTCAAAGATTTATTTCAAAAGATCTTTTGAAGACCTCAGTTGGCATTACAAGTATCCTGCAATATGTTTTCAATTGATACGTATTGCAGCTGTGATATATTTGTTACAAAATATATTAATTTTCATAATTGTTTGTGTCATTTAACCAAAATTACCTTCACAAATGATAATTCCTTTGGAAATTGGATTCCAAAATGGCAGAAACATGAGCATGACGTTTTGCGCAAGTTGTTGTCTACCCTGTATCTATGTACAAATACCTTAGCTCCCAATATACTGAACAACCTATTGTTCTACAGAAAACTGCACTGCAACATATTGTAATACAAATCTTTGGCCATTATGCAGCCTGTTTATTTGACCGTTTTTAATAGCAAAAGGCCCAAAGGCTTGAAACTGGTCTTGTCTAACCTTATGAACTCACAGAAAGTCACTGTATCTTTATTGAAAACAAAACTGTATTTAAAAATCACATGGTGTCATTTAAAACCTGGAATTAAGGACTTAAATTTGGGATTATATAGTTGCTTGACAGTATTGATTGTCTTGACCTAGTTGCTGACCCAGACGTGCATTAGCTGTTAAACACAACTCATTCTAGGTAACCATGTTATTCCTGAAGTGTTGGCTGTCAAATCTACGTTGAAGCACCTTGAAGCACCTTGAAGCACCTTGAAGCACCTCGAGGTGCTAAGGGCATCGGACAGTACTTGTTATTTATCCAACAGGATGCTTGCCCTCTCTGCCTAGTAAAATGGCATTTACCAAGGTTACAATTTGATTAACTCTATCTCTAGGAAACAATTTACTGCTCTTATTAGTGTTCAGGCTTGACTTTGCAAGGGACGGTTTGGTAGCCTAATGGTTGGGTAGCTTCATGGTGCAAGCATTTGCTTGTCAAACCAAAGGCCCGGGTTTGATTTGTCACATGGGCATGACGTGTGAAGCTCACTCACTCACTCTGGGTACAGTGAGTGAAGCCCATTTCTCGTGTCCCCCGCCATGATATATCTAGAATATTCCTAAAAGCAGTGTAAAACTAAACACTCACTTATATTGGTAAAGTTGTTTATTTTCATTACTCAACTATTTGAAGTTGAGCTAAAAATACAAAAGTACTCTGTTTGTTTATCCATTTTACAGTATTACTCACTCACTCACTCTCTCACTCCATGGTTTACCGTTAGTTACTTTATGATTAAGTTTCTTGTTGTAGATTATGAAACATTGTTGTAATTTAGTTACTTATTTCATATCATATCATTTGTATGTTTTATGTGAAAATATTCACAGATCAATGATGACAGCACACTTTCATTCAAATTTCAGTATGAAATGTTGACATGCCCAAGTGAGCCACAGTGTCTTGGCACTCATGTATTTACAGACGAGAATGTTGAAATTTTGCAAAAACGGAAAATGCTTTATTAAAAGTTGTACTTTTTGTTGATAATATTCTTATGAAATGTACACCCTTGATATTTGTTATTTTAACATCTGGAACCCCTTCTGTGCTTTTTCCCCAAATTTAATTAAGATCTGTGAAATCTGCTGCTGACATTGCTCGACAGTGTGTTTATCTACTGAATGCTGAAAAGTACTTTCATCCAAGTGCTGAAGCCTGGATATCGTCAAATGATACACAGAGCAAAAAAACCCCAACTCTTTGTATCTTTCTTTTCACAATTTTTGCCTTGTTTTCAAAATTAAACATTTGACTTAATAGAGATGTGATTAAAGTATGTCATGAATCTTAACAATTTTTCCTTCATTTTAGAATTTAACATTTGGCTTGATCGAGATGTGGTAAAATTTTGTCATGAATCTTCACAATTTTCCCCTTGTTTTCAGAATTTAACATTTGACTTGATAGAGATCCCAGTGTTCCTTGTGATGGCTGTGTTTGGGGGTCTAACTGGCGCCTTGTTTGTCGTGCTCAACTATAAACTTACAGTCTTCAGGCAAAAGTAGGTACAACCAGCACTTAGTGGTATGTCTGTTGTGGAATATATGTAGAGCCTGTTAATGTGGAAACCTGATGTGGATGTATTTATGCGGACTTTATTGTCATTTATGCAGGAGCTACTTAGTCCTGACCCTGTTAATGTCGAAACCTCATTAATATGGACATATTTATGCTGACTTTATTATCGTTTATGCCCAGTGACTACTTAGTCCTGACAGACCGCCTCCGTGGTGTAGTGGTTAGAGCGTCCGCCCAGAGAGCGGAAGATCGCGGGTTCGATCCCCGACTGCGTCATACCAAAGGACGTTAAAATATGGTACTTGTTGGTCCCTGCCTGGCGCTCGGCATTAATGGGTACAACAAGGACTGGTCGGCTCGAGTCAGTATAATGTGTCTGAGTGGGGTATTCATGCTTCACTGTGGCATGGTATCTCAGTGGGCTAGCACTATGAAACCAGCTTCAGTCTGGGCTAGTACAAGCAGCCGCACATACACATACACACGCTATACGTCGTCATATGAGCGAAATATTCTCAAGCACAACGTAAAACCCAATTTCACCTCACCTCACTTAGTCCTGACCTTGTTAATGTGGACACCTCACTAATATGGACACATTTATGCTCACTTTGTCATTTATGCAATGGCTACTTAGTCATGACCCTGTTAATGTGGAACCTCACTATTATGAATATACCTATGATCTGTTGTGTTTCAGATACTTGCATCGTAAGAAGTGGGTGAAGGTGTTGGAGGCTGGTGTTGTAGCTATTGTCAGCGCCATCATTGGCTTTGTCCTCATGTACTTCATCAAGGACTGCACCGAGGAACACCCATACAGTCACCACGCCATCACATCAAACGTAAGATATGCACAATCACAGAACTCTTGTACAGTCAAACAGCCATCACATCAAATGTAAGATATGCACCATCACAGAACTCCAGTACAGTCAAACAGCCATCAAACCAAATGTCAGACACATGTAATTGTAGAACACCCAAACACCATACCATCACATCAAACTGGGGGCTGTGGGGTAGTCAAGTGATTAAAGTGCTCGCTCGTCACATCGAAGACCTGTGTTCGATTCTCCACATGTGTACAATGTGTGAACCCATTTCTTGTGTCCCTTGCCTTGATATTGCTGGAATATTGCTGAAAGCGATGTAAAACTAAGTAAACTGATCATCGAAACCTCAGTCTCATGAACAATATTCAGGAACACTGGACACCCATTACAAAAAGCATGGTTTGCTGATGATCAGCTTGAATGTTCATGCATGTTGCATTATAGAAGCATCATATGGCCATATGTGACAGTAACCCTGGACACAGTGTTAAATCCCATTTCACCTTTGCTGACACTACCAGCCAATGAAACCTTGCTATACTTGTGTGTTCCTTTTCAGATGTTCTGTGACAAAGGTCACAATGCCATGTCCACTCTCTTCCTTACAACGCCAGAGGGATGCCTTAAGGCCTTGCTGCATGACCCCATAGGTCAGTCACACTCGGAGGATATCGGTGAAATCTCCCAGCCATAGATCGTACATGTTTTACACAAAGTATAAACCCAACTGGGTGCTTAAATCCCAATGTACAATTTAGATTATTATGAGGGACAGAGAAAGTACTCTTCTCAAAACTTAAATATCATGTGGTTACATCAATAATATGGACGACTATGATGATGATGATGATGATGATGATGATGATATTTCATATCAGTAGTGTCATTTAATAGTATGGGGGCGGTGGGGTAGCCTAGTGGTTAAAGCGTTGGCTCGTCACGCCGAAGACCCGGGTTCGATTCCCCATATGGGCACAATGTGTGAAGCCTATTTCTGGTGTGCCCCACCGTGATATTGCTGGAATATTGCTAAAATCGGCGTAAAACTAAACTCAGTCAGTCATTCAACAGTACACCAAGTTTGCAACTGTGAAGTGAGTTGGGGGTTGGGGGTGTTTGCATAATGGCTAAAGGGTTTGCTTGTCAGACTGAATGCCTGGGGTAGCCTGATGGTTAAAGTGTCTGCTCGTCCTGCTTAAGAACTGGGTTTGATTCCCCACATGGGCACAATGCGCGAAGTCCATTTCTAGTGTCTCCAACCGTGATATTGCGGGAATATTGCTAAAAGTGGCATAAAACCACACTCACTCGCTTGTGTAGATTACTGATATGTTTGCTAGGAATTCTGCCTAGAATTGGATGTCAAATAGTTCCAACTTTTTGTGATAAGTTTCCTCTCAGCGTCCTCCTTCTTGTTTCAGAGTCATACGGAGTTGTGTCCCTTGTTGTGTTCATCATTGTGTTTTTCCTGCTCGGAGTGTGGACCTATGGCTTGAGTGTATCCAGTGGTGTGTTTATTCCGTCTCTGGCAATCGGTGCTGCTTGGGGCCGATTGGTTGGCCTGGGTGTTATACAGATGTTTCCAGATCAAGTGAGTATAACACTTACCTTACAACTTAGTAAATTAATTATAAACATAAAATTACATTTATCTTGCAGTATTGAAAATACCCTCATCCTAGAAATGCCATCTATTTATGTTTTCATGACTAACAATTATTCATATGATTTTCACAGATTTAAATAGGAAGTTGCTTGAAGATGTATTCATAATGAGATTAAACATAATAAAAGTGATTTTAGATATACAGAGATTCTACTTATACATATTATTTGATATAATGTATGGTATATCCATTTTAATGATAAAAAAGTGGGTACTAATGTAAAATGCATGAGGTTTAACCTTGAGTAGGTATTAGTGTTTTGCAAAAACGCTTTTGTAGGTTTGGGCCACAACTTCAGATCAACTTAATACACAGGTATGTCTAAGGGTTAAGTGTCCAGTCATGTTACTGAATGCAACAGTTACCTTTTTGTCAGCTTCAGCTTAAAGTAATAGATGTGGCGTGTAGATTTGTGATTTTACCATTTCAAACTGGCTTCCACAGCAGAGATTATTTGGGTGAGATCTATAGCTATATCTCACTGGAGGTATCACTGCAATCTCTTATATACCGGTATTCGATTTTAGTTCTCACTACTGCTAACAAAGATCTAGGACATCTGTTATGAGTCATGTCAGACCGACCTCTCATCATTAAACAAGATCTAGGACATACAAGAGTCACATCGGACCCACCTTTCATCATTAAACAAGATCTAGGACATACGAGAGTCACATCGGACCCACCTTTCATCATTATACAAAGATCTAGGACATACAAGAGTCACATCGGACCCACCTTTCATCATTATACAAAGATCTAGGACATATGAGTGTCACATCGGACCCACCTTTCATCGTTAGACAAATATCTAGGACATACAAGAGTCACATCAGACCGACCTTTCATCATTATACAAATATCTAGGACATACGAGAGTCACATCAGATCCACCTTTCATCATTATACAAAGATCTAGGACATACAAGAGTCACATCAGACCGACCTTTCATCATTAGACAAATATCTAGGACATACAAGTGTCACATCGGACCGACCTTTCATCATTATACAAAGATCTAGGACATACGAGAGTCACATCGGACCCACCTTTCATCGTTAGACAAATATCTAGGACATCCTGTTACAAGTTACGTCAGACCAACATTTCATTGTAAGACAATAATCTAGGAACCATCTGTTACGAATCACGTCAGATTGACCTTTCTTCCGACCAATATAGGTGTTGTTTAACAGATCAGGAAAGTGATAGTAAGGATGTGTTTCCTGATCCTGCAGCCTCAAGAAGGTTAACACAATGTATTCTGACAGATATGGGTGTACGACTGATTCCATCAGTATCATCATCTCACTTCCGCTTCAGTGGTATAAACATTTGGAGGGAAAGAGACTTTCCATAGCCAGCTGAAAGTATTGCTTTACCTTCTCTGTCATTTATTACATTTTCTTTTCAGTTTCTGTATTTTGAAAAGATATCTTTAAGCATAGCCTTGAATGGAAGGCACCAGTATATTAGTGCTGTGAAGCCTGAGGAAGGTGTATTGTGACTAGCAGGTGTTCACTTTTCAATGTTTCCGCTTTCCATCAAGGGCAAGAGGTCGTTTTGACATGATCTGTTACGGCATGTTTTCAGATATTGTTGTGGTAGTGAGAACTAAGATCTGATTTTAATGAGATTGGATATTGCTGTAACACAACAGCATTACTATGCGTTGCAGACAACTGTGACATCATTGTATTTCTATGACATCACAATCAAATGACATCACTAATCTCTCTGAAACTGAAGGTGCTTAGCTGTAGTTTTCACGCTCGAGTTATTACTCTTTACAAACTGAAAAAACACATTAGTGATGTCATTTGATTGTGATGTCATAGTAACGCAATGATGTCACAATCAAATGACATCACTAATCTCTCAGCCAATGAAACTGCTTAGCTGTAGTTTTCACACTCAAGTTGGTATCACTCTTTACAACCTGAAAAAATCTGTATAAACAGAATATTACATTGTGTCTTTTAATATCAAATGTATCACTAAACTTGGGTGAGATTCTCTAGTTTATACTGAAATACTATGGTGCTGTGAGCTTCAATCTGCCTGAGCTGCATTTGCTTTTAGCAGTATAATCATGGCATATTGACCAAACTGACACTGAAATCCTTGGAATAAAATCATGAAAAATGTGTTCATTGTACAATGTTTACATTATATTTGAGGATGTGCTTGCATTAATATTGCCAAACCACTCCATAAAATATTTTCCTGTGACTCTACTTTTAAACTAAATGTACAGAATCAAGGATCCCCATATGATAAATGCAAAGTGTGTAAGAGATTTAGAAAACACAAAAATTAAACAAAACAATATTTTATGTTTTGAATTTCTTTGATTTTAAAAAAAAATATCTTTACACAATGAGTGTATTCAGTAAATCCAGAACAGTAAGGCTTATGTTTTATCCATGCATTATTAAAACCACTTAGTTTGTTTTATCTAAGAGTAATGAGTGAATAATCTAAATGCTTTTCCATAAAATCTTAACTGAGACCTCTTAGAAATAAGGCATTGTAATTTTTCAAAACAAACAACAAAATAAAATTAGATGTATCAAATAACATTATCTCTAACTGACTTCTGTTTCAAATAAAGTTACACAAGAAATTGTAATATAATACATATCAGAAAATATATTCTCATGAAAAATACAAACCATCAATCATCTTTTGGTATTTTGCATTTTAAACATTTCTGTTTTTAAGTCAGTAGCAGTACTAAGCTGAAAGTTCAAAAGTATTTTTAGTTTTTCCATCACCAACATTAAATTTTAAGCCCAAATGTTTGTAAACCATTTTAGATAAGAAATCTTTTGTTTTACAACTCTATTAAGGCCCTAAAGGGATGTCTCTGTTTAGAAATGTTTAGTTGGCATCCATATGAGACGATCCCTTATACATTATACAAATGTGTCAAACTGAGTATCTGTGAAAAAGGATGTGTCCTACTTGTCATTTTGTTGTATGTTGTTACATAAACAACAGTATTTTTTAAAATATTTTTACTGTAAACACAACCAATATCTCACAGCAGTCCAATAATTTATCTTTTAAAATAACTGAAATATAAAGGTACCCAAGTTCATTGTGTGTGCTGCCTTAAGCCTGAGAAACAGCAAGTTAAATTCAAATAACATTGTATTGACACACTTAATGTGGATGGTAGGTGTGTGGGGGTGGGGTTAAGGAGTTGGGGTTTTGTGGCAGAAGGATCGAGGAATTGTTGTCAAAGACACTATTTTTCTCAGAAAGGTGACCTCATACTGACATTTCCCCCCCCAGCATTGTTGGTACATTCGGCACGAGTAAAGAACATTTCTTTTTCCAAAGTCTGGGGGAAAATAGTTTTATCCATGTCTATTGAACAATTCTTCAAAACAAATACCCATCCACTTAAGAATAGCAAATTCTGTACACTACCATTATATGAAACTCAAAAGGACCACTAATTTTAATTCATTATTACCATAGTTCGTTAACCGCATTTAAAATATTATTTTCTGCAAGAGGCAGAGTCTGAAGTGACAGTTTGTTATGTCAATCAATTTGTTATCAGTTTGTATTTTATAGGTATAGTGTACTGTAACCATTTTTTTAACTCATCATTCATAACAGTTGAGAATGATGAATCAGATGTTGATAACAGACCTAAACTTCTGTGTATGTTTGTCATATACTATTTGCCTGCCAACTGCTGCTGGTTCATTCTGACATTAAACCTGGTGTTTCTATCTGTTACTGACCTGTCAGACTATACTAGCCAATGCCACAGATATGGCAATAAAGAAGGGTATGCACAAAAATGAGGTGAGTATTGTATGCAAACTTTGCTTGGCAAAGTCTCAGATGTTTTTTGCCTGTTCACAATATTAATGGTGAAAGTTCCATTTTTTGGTTGTGGTAGTATGTGTGCATTGACTCTATTTTTGTTTTTTATAGAATATTCTTTAATAATAGTTCCATTAATCTGTACTATCACCTTGTGTTTTTGTGCCAGACCCAAGAATGACTAATTTCATTGGAGATTCACATTAGATACACATATGTCAGAATGGTTAACTTTCGCTGAAAAAATATCCTATAAGATAAGTAACTATTTGCATTTATGTGTGTATCCTCTATATGTGACCCGTGAAGATCCGGGTTAAAATTGATCTTCAGTAACCCATGCGTGTCGTAAGAGGCGACTAATGGGATCAGGTGGTCAGACTCGCTGACTTGCTTGACACATGTCATCGGTCCAAATTGTGCAGATTGTTGCTTTTGCTTTGATCACTGGATTGTCTGGTCCAGACTCGATTATTTCCAGACTGCTGCCATATAGCTGGAATATTGCTGAGTGCGGCATAAAACTAAACTCACTCACACTCACTCTATATGCTGTTATCTTTGCCCTATGGAGAGCGATCAACATGGTCATTTCAACATGCAAACATATATTAGCATGCATCTCACTACTGTAGGTGCAGTAACATATCTACATACTTATGCCAAACAGTATGCCAAGGGCATTGAAAGGCTTGCGTTAGGCATCAGTTCTTATGTTTTTAAATGTGTTAGTTTAAAAACAAGAGGAAAGTCCAATGATGTGACAAGGCGCGTACAGAGACAGAGACACGTGCTATCAGGGTTATTGATTAATGTTTACAAGCAAAGCTTCAGAAAGGTCAGTGAACTGTCCCTTTAGATTTACATGAGTAATTTATCCAATAAATAGAGTACTTTTTCAGGGCTGAAAATAAAATATGTGCAACTTGAATTCACTGATTGTCTTGTTAGTTGCTTACTTTCGTCAGATTTCTTCCCAGCCAACTGAATGATAAATGAACACAATTATTCACTGAATTCCTTAAATTATTCCTTTGCATGTTTTGAGTTTGCTGCCACTCATTGAAAATATTGCTACTTTGCAAAAGGGACAAACATTACCTTTGACATGTTTGCAGTGGATTACCACAAAACCTCAGATTTAATATCCTTTCCAGTCATCATTGGCACTGCCCCCTCATATGATATTCTTTGCACACTCCTTGACATGAAAGTTCCTGGATTTATGTTCTCGGCATAAATCCTGGACCTTGTTTTCGAAAAAACAAACTTAAGTTTTTACTCCAATTTCCAACTCAGAGTTTCATAATATGAAACAGCTGAATTTCTAACTCACCTGCATTTTTCAAATCAAAAAGTCAAAACAACTCAAATAACCTATCTACTAAACTTAAATTGTCTAGTATCAGCGTTTGAAACTCTGCCCGAGTACGGTCTGTTATGCTATTGCACGCACCGATGGTCTGGCTGTTAAATCAGTGTAATTTTGTAATGTATATAATGACTAAAGCCTTGACTGAAAAACATTTGAAAACGTGTTATTGTGACAATAACCTGACATTAAACAGTTCCCTCCTCTATTAACGTTACCTTCTTTTTTTTTTTCTTAATCCAGAAAATTCTGGACTGGCAACTTTTCAGCCCGGTCTGGTAACTTGAGTTAAAATCGAATTTAACTTAGTATGTTTAGTACATTTTCTCAAACTTGTGTTAAATTGTTAAGTTTAGTCAAAACGCATACTTAATTTTTTTAGAGAAATCAGAGCCTGGACATAATGCTCTTGGATCCTTTTGTTGAAATAACCCCACCTTATTTTCAAACAGACCCATTGAAATGACAGACTGCTGACGCTGAGTTCAGGGGTGATTGTCTTAATTAATGCATGGTATGCATGATCACGGTATCACATTTTGCCTTGGAGATGTATACAGAACTGGGCTTCATATGGAATCACACCAAATCTGTTCCACAAAAGAATCTTTGTGCTACAAGTGTGTTCTCTTCACCATTGGCAGTGAAATAGGGCAGTGGATAGAGTGTCAGCTGATCAAGCCAAAAACCTGTGTTCAATTCCCCAGATAGAAGCAATGTGTGGATCCTATTTCTGGTGTCCTTCTGACATAATATGGCGTAAATATAGTGATAGGTGACATAACCTGATACAGCCTTATCTTAACCTTATAATAGACTTAATTAGGTTGTACAGTCCATTTGAGTCAGAAACGGACCGATGAATTGCAAATTTTATCATTGTACAAAATTGCCACATAAATATAAATAGTACACATGTTTATCATTTACTAATACCCAACAGCTTTCTTATCTTTGAAAATTTTCCAGACTCCACCAATAAAGTTCTTTAAGAAACTATCATTAAAATTGTGACACAGTTCACTATTTGTTACGAGGGAGGAGTGCAGAGAAAGGGACAGCCAGGTGTTAGAGAAGCACGTGCACAAGTGCCCACCAAGTAATTGATTCATTAGCCTGTGCTGTGCCGTCTCCATCCTTTCTTGCACACCTGGCTGTCCCTTTCTCTGCACTCCTCCCTCGTAACAAATAGTAAACTGTGTCAAAATTTTAATGATAGTTTCTTAAAGAACTTTTTGGGTGGAGTCTGGAAAATTTTCAAAGATAAGAAAGCTGTTGGGTATTAGTAAATGATAAACGTGTACTATTTATATTAATGTGGCAATTTTGTACAATGATAAAATTTGCAATTCATCGGTCCGTTTCTGACTCAAACGGACTGTAGTAGTACAATGAACTCTTGTGGAGCATCTTCCTTTTGGCATCACTCATAATGCATGCATGTCTAATTGTCATCAGAGACCATATAATAGATCTATGGTCTCTGTGGTCATCATGTAATGAGTTGAGTTCATGTAAAACTCCAAAGAATGCAAACCGGACCATTCTTTGACTTTGGAGCAATGGGTAGTGCTAATAACCACAGAACATTTATGCTCCAGTGGAAGAGAAACCAGGATTTTTTTATTTTTTTATTTTTTCAAAAAAGGCCGACTTTTAGAACAAACAGGGTTCGCCACTCATTTGTTCCAGCTAGTATTAGATGCATTAACAACAAATTCTGTGTATGACTTGTCTTTTAATTGTCCAAATTCTATTCAATCTCTATGTTTGTGTACTAAATTGATGTATTTATATCCTGATTATTTCATGATTACCATTTGCAATGTTATGTATGGCTGCTTTATGAAAGAAAACTGGAGAACGTATGATGCAAAACAAATTTCCCTTGGGACAATAAAGAATTATCTTATCTTAGAACCATTGCACATGTTGCTCAAGAAATGTTACTGATGTAATCTGAGCACTGATTGGCCAGAAAACTCCTGGTTTTTCTTCCACTGGAACCAGACTGTGATTTGATTGACTGGTTGAAAAAAGATTAACAGGTGATGATAGGAGGTAGTGTAAGCAAGACAATGGACATTGTTGATCGAATGCAAGGGTAGATTGAAGCCATACGTCTATGGGGCTCTGATTTGAATGCTGCATAAAGTTTTACAAATTTGGTAGAAGTTAGTTGAAAGTTGTTGGAAAATGTCAGTTGTCATGTTGAAACTTTCTCCCCTAGCTCATTAGTATCTCCCCACTGTTATGTTTGAGTTTGACCGCCTCCGTGGTGTAATAATAATAATAATAATAAATGGATATTTCTTATGCGCCATAGTCCATCCAGAGCATGCTCAAAGCGCTACATATAAAAAGAGTGACTAGAGTTGAAGAAGAAGATATGACAATTAGCCAAAAATAACCGTGAGAGTATTTTACAGTTATAGGTTGTAGACTTTTTTGAAGAGGAAGGTTTTGAGTCCCGATTTGAATGCTTCTAGGGATGAAGCATTTTTTATGGGAGTAGGAAGACTGTTCCATAGGGTTGGTGCTGCAAATTTGAATGACCTATGGCCAAAGTGTTTGAGAGCGAACTTGGGGAACTGAGAGAAGATGTTGATTCTGAGAGCCGAGAGAACGGGCAGGCATATATGTTGACAACATCTCAGAGAGGTATGGAGGAGCTAGGCCGTGTTTGCAGCGGAAAACAAGAGTGCAGATCTTGAAATGAATTCTTGCTTCAACCGGCAGCCAATGCAGACTCTGGAGGATTGGGGTTATGTGGAGTCCATTTGGATGTTTTAGTGACAACTCTGGCTGCAGCATTCTGAAGTTTTGAAGTCTGAAGAGAAGATCATTGGAGATTCCAAACAGTAGGCTATTGCAATAGTCAATCCCTGGAGAGAACAAGTGACTGAGTGAGAACTTTAGCAGCATCTGTGGTTACAAGATGGTGGATGTTACCAATAGAGTGGAGATGGAAGTAGCCTACTCTACAGAGATGGTTCACATGTTGCTCCATGGTGAGACAAGGATCAAGATGAACACCTAGGTTTTTTACACTGGATGAAAGTGGGATATCTGAGTTGGCTACTGTGATGTCCGTAGAGTTTATCCTTTTCAGACATTGCGATGTGCCAATCAACATAGCCTCAGTCTTATCATCATTGAGCTTCAGCTCATTTGTCATCATCCATGAACTAATTGCCTTAGTGCACTGACTCACTCTTAGATCTGGCTATTTGTACATCCTCTGGTTTGAAGGAATCCGTCCAATTGGAGGTCGCCTGCAAATGCGCGGGTGATTCAGATCAAAGTTATCAATGACCTTCTCCAAAGGGTTTGTGTATAACACAAAGAGAAGCGCCCAAGGACTGAGCCCTGGGGTACACCACACTCTAGGATCGTTGACTCAGAGATGCTTTCAGAGACAAGAACTGACTGACTCCTCATGCTCAGATAGGAACGGAACCAGGCCAATGCATCCCCTTGTATGTTATAGTCATCCTGAAGACGGCTAAGGAGCTTCTGATGGTTGACCGCGGTCTTAACGCCGCTGAGAGATCAAGCAAGAGGAGAAGTGACACATTACCCAAATCCGCTTGTTGGTGTAGTGGTTAGAGCGTCCGCCTGGAGAGCAGAAGGTCGCGGGTTCGATCCCCGACCGCGTCATACCAAAAGACGTTAAAATATGGTACTTGTTGGTCCCTGCCTGGCGCTCGGCAGTAATGGCTACAACAAGGACTGGTCGACTTGGAGTCAGTATAATGTGTCTGGGTGGGGTATTCATGCTTCACTGCGGCATGGTATCTCAGTGGGCTAGCACTATAAAACCAGCTTAAGTCTGGGCTAGTACAAGCAGCCGCACATACACATCCACACGCATGCACTTCGCCATATGAGCAAAATATTCTCAAGTTCGACGTAAAACCCAATTTCACCTCACCTATGTTTGAGTTCGGACAGTGATGTGACTTCACTTAATCTAGAGGTCAATATTGAGTGGGACCAAGTGTTAGTGGTAGATTTTCCTTGTGTGAGTTTATTACAAAATATTTAGAAATGTTTTCGATGTTTTTAGACAATTAATCTTGTGTGTAGAGCTATTGTCCAAATATATTTACTCAAAGTTTCTAATAATAACATCTGACAGCTTTTAATATGGCAGTGTGTTTGGTGTTTACTAAACATGTATAGTCTCAATAACTTCTGTAAATATGTACTGGTTTCTAATATAATGTCTTGGGGTGATACATTATTAAATGCAAGTTAAGAATATTTGCTGGTTGCCTTTGAAGATGGAACATGCTATCTACCTGGAATCTTAGTGTATGTTATAATTTTATTAATTTCCTGATTTTGCAAGTTTTTGTCTTGCACTTTTAAAATGTGAAAATGCCACACTGTTGAAATTGTGCGACAGAAGCATGATATGCCATGATTCTCTTTGTAGGATTTGGTTTACTGACAATTATTTCAGACAATTATTGGGATCTTTACTTAAGTACATAACATTTTTTTATATTTGTTGTTTTAATTGAAAAAGTGTCAAGTTGCAAGTCGAAAATTTATCTTCAATGGACAGAATTAATGATGGATACTGAACAGTCACGTCAGCGTTATTGCTGTGACAGAAGAAATAACAAAATCCTGGAAATTATCTGTAACAGTTACTTTGTATTACCCTATTGGTTTTGATTATTTGGTCATGCTGGATATATGAGTAAAGATATAGAAGTTTCTAAATTGCAATGAGTCTTTAACCCACCATTTATTGAGAAATTAGACTGAGTTTTTATGTAGTCATGTGGCAAAACTTGCTGTTGTCAATATTAAGTTTAAAAGCCATCATAGCAGTTCATTTTTTAAACTTTTACACTGTGAGACCTCTATAATTCAAACAACTGTTTTATCTGGATATACACAAACTGTATCATTAAATGTTTCTGTCCCCTAGACTCTATACCAGTGTATTAGGAATATATACTTGTCAACTTTTGACAGGGACAGTCAGATATTCATTCTATTTAACCATATGCTATATATTATGAAAACCAGTGGTATGTATGATGGAAAGACAAGAATATCCCTATAAAAATGGAGCAGTATATATTAGTATTCCATTTGGAAAATTGACAAAAGCAACAAAGTTTCTTCAGTCCATGATTTTGAATTAATGAGGTTTCATTGTATAAAGATGACCTGTTTTGAAAACCTTTTCATCAGGTGTTGGTTTATTTCAGGCCAAAGATGTTGGCAAATACGCTTTAATAGGAGCAGCAGCCCAGTTAGGTGGCATCCTCCGTACAACGATCAGCCTGACAGTTATCATCGTGGAGTGTACTGGAGACATATCATTCGGTCTCTGTATCATGCTCGCCTTGATGATCTCCAAGTGGGTGGGAGATTTCTTCACAACTGTGAGTGTGGCCGTAGCTCTCAATTTTTCATCAAAATCACATAGTTTTTCCTCTGATGTGATACCTTTTTGTATTAATATGTGTCAAAGAACCGTGAAGGTCTGGGTTATAATTGATCTTCAGTAACCCATGCTTGTCGTAAGAGGCGACTAACGGGATCGGGTGGTCAGGCTCTCTGACTTGGTTTGCAGATGTCATCGGTTCCCAATTGCGCAGATCTGTGCTCATGCTGTTGACCACTGGATTGTCAGGTGAACTTTGTTATCAGCCAATCAATGTTGAGGTTTTGTCAAACCTTCACTGGTCATGTCAGGTGAACTTTGTTATCAGCCAATCAGTGTTGAGGTTTTGAACTCTTTGTATCTTGAAAACAAACTTAATCAGGTACTTCTAAATGAAAATGATAAAGGCTGCATTATCATTTTATGGATATTTTAGACTGTAAACATCATGAGGAATGTATATGTATTCTGTTTGGATTTGCTTGTTATAAGAGGAAACCGTCCGAATTGACGTAAAAACAAATTGAAGCAGAATCATTTCAGAAAGCAAATGTTCGTGTCTCATGATTTCATGTATCCATTATTAAGATAGTGCAGTCAAAAATTGCTCAGGATTTGGTTGACCCATAAATCTTCAAACACAGGTGTCATACTGGACTGGTTGAAAATCAGATTTGATTGAATTTAATAGTCTCAAATAGTAGACTTTGAGGCATTTGAGGAGGAGTCCTACAAGTTCAATATAAGACAGTGCTTATAGATGGGCATTACATTAAAAGCCTGTCCGTGGTCTGGTAGATATTTCTCTGATGAAAATATTTCTATGAAGGCAGTTTTATTGTGTTTGATTTGATTTTCTTGTTGATAAAATAGTGACTATGTGCTGGCCTGAATTTTGGGAGTTCTGTTTTCCCTTTGTTGAGGCAGTTTTATTGTGTTTGGCGTTTGACTATGTCTGCAGGGTCTGTATCTGACATGAACGTGGAAGTGAGTGGCATCCCCCTCCTTGTGTCCGAGCCCCCTCCTCTCTGTGATCATGTCAAGGCCAGGTGAGTTTGGGGGGGAGAGGGAGGGAAAAGGTAGTGGGGAGGTTGAAACCCGAGGTTAACTACCAGAATGATGGACTGCATGAGTTGGAGCTGGTTACTTCATGCTTACAGAAATACTATTTTTTTGCAGTTTGGTCATGTATTGGGTTCAACTTGTAACAATGGGAATGTTGTTTATACATCTTTTGTAATTAGGCTCAGAACATTTCAGCCACCTGTTGTATAACTCACCTGTGAAGGTCCAGGTTAGAATGAATCTTCAATAACCTTGTCATGCTTGATTAACGGGGTGGTCAGGCTCGCTGGCTTGGTTGACACATGTCATCGGTTCCCAGTTGCACAGATTGATGCTCATGCTGTTGATCACTGGATGGTCCGGTCCAGAGTCGATTATTTACAGACCCGCCATATAGCGTGAATATTGCTGAGTGCGGCGTAAAACTAAACTCACTCTCTCACTCTTGTATAACTATCTTCATGGAAGTTCTGGGCCCTATTGCACAAAGAGAGCTTAATGCTATCATAAGTCTGATATTTGAGTGTAGGGGTTGTGATTGCCATAGTGCTGAGGTCGGTTGTGTTAGTGGCCGCTTGTCTTTCTGTTCATCCTGCTGTGGGATTTTGGGGGATGAGGTCCCTATCCCTGATGTTTGACGAAAATAGTGTTCTGACGTGTTTGTTCTCCACAGTGAGGTGATGAGCCATCCAGTGCTATCATTCCAGCCATTAGAGACTGTAGGCAATATTATAGACGTCCTGGCCACAGAGACTTTCTGTGGCTTCCCTATCATCGAACCGGACCCCAAGGTCAGTGCTTCTTCCAATCATGCATCTTTAGGACACTTACTGTGTTCGAGTTTCCTTCATAACAAGCAATATGCATGTGCTTCAATCTATGTCCCCAACTGGAACCAACTATAAGAACACTTTCTCCATCAAGAACACGATGTCATGATAAAATCACATCTACTGGCTGAGGTTGAGCTGGATCTCAGGACCATGTCTCCCACCTTATCTCATTATCAGGCCTAAAAAAAAATGTTGTGGTTCAAATTACCCGACCAACCTTTGAATTCTGGTGCCGACCCTAGTTTTTTTAAGAGGTATGAATAAAATAAGCTTTCAGATACCATTGTTTTTTCCCAGCACCAATGGACATCAGTCATTCTGATAGAGAAAGTCGACATAATGGCCGCAAGCTTGATTGAATAAACAATTACACATTGATAAATGTGTTATTAGTTCATACTTTACTTCTAAAAAAATGACATCATATGAGCGAAATATTCTCAAGCACGCCGTTAAACCCAATTTCACCTCACCTCTTAAAAAATGTGAAAAAAAATTCTTTCTATCTACCTACCCTAAATTTTAAAGAGGTGTAATCGGAACCACAACATTTTTTTTATTGGGCCTAAGGGTGAGGTGAGGTGAAACATGGGTTTAACATCGTGCTTGAGAATATTTCACTCATATGACAATGTGCATGCATTTGTATGTGTATGTGCGGCTGCTTGTAATAGCCCAGACTAATGCTGATTTTATAGTGCTAACCCATTGAGATACCATGCCGCGGTGAAGCATGAATACCCCACTCAGACACATTAAACTGACCCTGTGCCGACCAGTCCTTGATGTACCCATTAATGCCAAGCGCCAGGCAGGGACCAACAAGTACCCTATTTTAACGACTTTTGGTATGACGCGGCCGGGGATCGAACCCGTGACCTTCTGCTCTCCGGGTGGACGCTCTAACCACTACACCATGGAGGCGGTTATTTGGCCTAAGGAAGATCACTAACCAGAACCTGATCCGATATCAGATCCCTACCACAATCTGATTCAAAATCATTATCCCCTTAATGCCTAAGCTAATCAAATAAGAACTGTTACCTTTCAGAACATAGTTCCATCACACCATACTCTTTCAAAAACAAATCCTAGGACACCATCCCCCACCAGAACCTGGTCCCAAAGCCTTGTCACTTACCAAAACTTAACTGCATGAGAAGAAAGGTCACCTCCCAGAACCTACTCCCAGATCTACGTCCCCTACCAGATTATGATTTCACTGTTAAAATGCCATTTTCTGCCAGAACCTGATTTCATCACCATCCTCTTTCAGGAGCAGTCATGTTCCAGAACCTAATTCCAGAATGCCAATCCCTATCAGAACATTATCCCATGATAGGAACAGTTCCGTACCAGAATCTGATCCTCGTCTCACATCACCATTCAGTAAAGCTTACCCATCTTCTTAGTGACAACCCAATGGCTCTTTAGGCTTTGCTCAATGAGCATGGGCTTGTAGCATGCATATCTCTTCTTGAGCTAAATGAACTATATGTTTCTTATTTCCTTTTAATTTGTTACCAGTAATATGAACCAATCTATTTGAACTGTAGTTCTCATTATAGTGATCATTTGGTCATTTCTCTCTTTCATTTCAGAATCTACGTCATGGAAAATTAAAAGGACTTATTCTACAAAACCAGTTGTTAACATTGTTGAAAAAGAAGGTAAATGACAACTTGCATTATTGGATACTCCCACTGAAATGTGAATCAGGAAAAATTTGATAATCAGTGCTTATTTTATCTCCACCAACTAAGTAAAATGAAAAAATACCAACCATTTCCTGTTGCTATAATCAAAAATAATCTTAACAATACTGTTACTATTTTCATCCTAGGAACTGATTTATAAACCACACCCTTTAATGACTTCCATAAAGTTAACTGCATATGAAGCTACACTTGAATACACAGTTGTTCAAATTAAGATATCCACCTACTGTTGCAAGATATTTCTTTGCACTATATAAAATAGATTTTATTGATGAAAAATGTTAATTGTCATCAATTCATTTCTCAAAGTAGTGAATAAGGTTCTGCATGATTATCATATGTTTCAAAAGTATCAACAAATTTACCATAAATATTTTATGGGGTAGGGAGTGGTTTAAACCTCACTTGTCATGCCCCAAGGCTCAGGTTTGATACCTATCATGGGTACAATGTGGAGCCCATTTCTGGCGTCGCTCGCCATGATATTGCTAGAATATTGCTGAAAAAGGTGTAAAACCCAATTCACTCACTCACGTTCTATGGTTCTGTTTTATTAGATCTTTGCCCCCGAAGGGATGTTGCCACCATCGAATGTCACAATGGCCGACTTTGACGATCCTTACCCTGTTGAGCTCACAAAAATAGAGGTACAGTATCTGATTTAGTCTTCTTTCAGTCAGTGCTTTATGACAAATGTTTGCACTGAAAGCAGAGATGCCAACCCTTAAGCTTTGGGCATAATTATTACGATTTTGACCATTAAATTATGCCATTACACTTAATCTGCGAAAATTACGCTTTTCTACTCGTTTTACGAATAAAAGTGGATAATATTTCACGCTTTTCTACTCATTTTAACGAAATAAAGTGGATAATATTTCACAGGGAAGCGTTTCGTAACACACCGGTACAGGGGTTCAGAATGGTCTTACTCCTAGTATAGCGCTCATTCCAATTAACTTTTAAGGAATTAAAGTATTTTGTGTCACATGACCAATAATTTTCGATGTATGGAGCTTTACAATGATTTGTCACATGTATTTCTAGAATATTTCCTATTCATGTGAAGAAACCTTCTTAAAAGTAATTTTTATAAAGTTATCATCTTTCACTAAGTAAGTGTTTTAAGTATTACACTTTTTAGGTCCAAATTACACTTTTTGACCTCCAGTATTACACTTCGGCCCAAAATAGGGTTGGCACCTCTGTGAAAGGAAGGTGTAGAACAAATCGTATTAGATATTCACAACATCCTGTGAATACGATTTTAGGGACACATATATTTCCAGTATTTTCAGGAAACAAATTAATATTTTCAAAAATGATTATTTTCAGGAGATTGAGGCCAATATTTCTGAAGAAGAGAGGGATTACCTTGTAGATCTCCGGCCTTACATGAATACAACTCCTTACACTGTTGGGCCGGTGAGTTAACAGGCTGTCCTCATTTGCCGACAGTTGATTAATGCTTAGTCTTAGAAAATAAGTAAAATATGTAATTTTCATGGGTGCTAGTTGGGGAGATGAGGGACATCACTGACCCTGGTTCCTCTCTAGAATCCATGTGCAGGATATGAGAGATGCCAGTATGTACCATATTGGTTGTATTAAGTGATCTGTTCCAATAGGCAGCTCAAGGCATAAAAGGCGACTATGCTTGTCGTAAGAGGCGACTAACGGGATCGGGTGGTCAGTTTCGCTGACTTGGTTGACACATGTCATCGGTTCCCAATTGCGCAGATCGATGCTCATGCTGTTGATCACTGGATTGTCTGGTCCAGACTCGATTATTTACAGATCGCCGCCATATAGCTGGGATATTGCTGAGTGAGGCGTAAAACTAAACTCACTCACTCACTCACTCAAGGCATAAAGAAAGCTTCTCCTGAATATTCTTGTAAATTTCATGAACATATATTCTGTGTTTATACATAAGGAAAAAGGTGATATATGTTGAATACAATTACCTGATCATGAATATTTGTGTATGCATTTCTGTTCCCAGAATTTCTCACTGCCCAGAGTGTTTAAAATATTTCGAGGTCTTGGTCTGAGGCATCTACTCGTCGTCAGTGATGACAATGAAGTAAGTTCAGTTTGAAAATCTAAATGATGAAAGTACTTTGAATTTTTGTTTGACATGACTGTGTACTTACTTAGTGAGATCCATAATGACCATATAAGGTCATCATTTTACTGTAAATTATTTTACCATCATAATTGATTAACTAGGAAAAGTTGAAGTTTTCATGTTCCAGAGTTTCTATGTCTTTCGGTTGGAAGAATGATAATGGCAATCTTGATGTTAGAAAAAGTCTTAAATTTGTTTCTTGAAAATGAAATGAAATCGAAATACAAACAAAAACATGTTCAAACAATATTCAGCAAAGTTTTAACACAGGTGTTTATATGCAGGTGTTTTTATTTTTAATTGGCACATTGTAATATCTGCTGAAAAAAAGCATCTGGTCTCCATTCCTCAAAGACATAGTAGAGCTATATCTGCCATAAGCCTTTGTTATGATCACCTTATTAAGATCACTTTGTGGAATGGAACACTGACTGTAATATCAATAATTTTCCACTGATCAACATATCTACTTTTATTTACAGCCCCTCGGAATGGTCACAAGAAAAGATCTAGCTAAATACCGAGCAGAGTCCAAGCACGGAATGTTAAAGATTGAAAATCTGAAAATAGAAGACAACTAGATTCATTCTATGACCTTGGAATCTTCTTCCAAATGAAGTTTACAAGTGAAACCAGAGTTATCTCCCTTCCTTTCTGAGTTGTCTCCCTTCTCACATGTCTCCTTGAATAAATATGCACAGATAAAGATTACTCTCTGATCGGCAGACAAACTCTTCTTTCAATTTCACTGAATGTAACCTGCTGTAATACGAATGTGATATTAGATGTGAGACATACCATCTGTTGGATAATACAACAGAAAATGATGAAAAAGGCAAGGAAGTCGTTTCTATTGTATTTTTTGTGATGCAAATATTTGGATGTTTTATGACAGCTTCACTTTCAAATAGTGCCTAGTCATTTTTTATTGAGATACTAATAGAATGGAGTTGGCTATTTGGGGTAAGGTTTTGCTGTATCAGATCCAATGTATGTACTGATTATTAATGTCAGAACTATACAAATAATAACAGTCATTCTTTCAGTGTAAATTTTAAGTATGATTTGATAAATTCAACATTTTGTGGTTGTGACCAGTTGGTTATTTAAAAATGTTTTATTCTGTTTTCAGTTTAAATCCTGTATGTACTGGTACTTTCATAACATTTCATACTATATCATACCACTCAACATTTGCTAAGAATCAAAATAGCCATCCTTTGCCAAAGATGGGTTCCTAGCAATTGTTGAGTGGAATATAAAGGTGAATGATTCAGACACTTCATTGCCAGAATTTGATCTTCCTGAGAATTTCATTATTTATCATGAATTTCTGTTGTCTTGTTATTTTTATGAATTTTTAATTACCTTTGTATATTTGCAATTTGTAATGATAGGATATTAGATTCAGATAAAACATCACTGAAAATAGAAAATTTTCACCTATTCACGCTCATTCTTGCAGCATTTTATAAAAATAATTTTGTTGGTGTATTTGTAGTTTTGAAAGTTTTTAGAGGTCACTCAATATTTGAGGTTGAGTGTGGAAATGGAATTAAATCTACTTAGCTAAATACGTCTCATTTAAATCCCATGTTCTTTCTGAGACTCCTCTGCAGGAGCTGATTGTGGTAGTGTGGCAGAGAGGCTGGGTTATGACGAGAGTCTGAGAGGGTAGGGAAATGTTGTTGTAGATGCACAGACTTGCCTATCCTTACGATTTTGGCGTAAGGCTTACTATTTTTGGTGCTAAATTAAGACCTTACGATCATACTGAAATTCCTTACGACTGCTACAAATAAATGGTAGAATACTAGATATAGGCATGCCCATGCTATTTATAGAGTCATTTACGGTACATAAAGTACAGAAAAACAGAAGTCGCATCATAAACATTATAAATAAATAATCTTTGCATCTTACAGTACTGGTAAAGTTTATTTCAAAGTGAAAGACTTTAAAAAACGTAATTAGATCAGCACCACATTTTACTATAAAACACTATATTAACATTTTAACCAGCGATGTTCTTACTTTATTTCTTGACATTAACATGTCTTACTATCAAATGCACCTGCCTTCCTATTTTTTTAGCTGATCTTACTATTTTCTTTAAAAGGGGTAGGCAAGTCTGGATGCACTGTCATATCTGTGTGACTGCTGACAACCCATTGTCTGTAGAGTCTGGGTAGTTGGGAGGATGGACAGGATCTGATAGAGCACCAGTGTTTCATGTTGTTCACAGAACAGCAAAGGAATGATCATGTAAGCTGTACCTTTGTTGTCATGTTCCGGCTCACCCTCGATCACCCAGGGTATATTCTAAATTTAAATGAAATAAACACCCTGGTCCCATTTGAGATAATTAATCCAGTTTGCAGGCTCAATGTGATAAATAATGATCCAGTCAAATTACACTGTTTGATTATAACAAGTAGCAATATCACCCACACTTGACTACAACAGGAGCATCTTGCAGCACTAGAATTCCTGTTCTCTGTCTTAATATTTAATGGAGCAGTTGGATGGTTCTTAGAGATGATTAGTTATAGTAGTCACTCATCTTGCCTAGTCCCTGGGTTCTTATTGCATTTTGTTACTATATGTGAGGCCCCCATTTCTGGTGTTCCCTGCCAGAGCTTAAAGCCTGTAGTACCTTTTTGACAATAATAATGTAATAAAGATTTAAAACCCTGAATAAATGAGGATGTCTGTGCCTCTACACTCCACATATCGGTTCCCAGTTGCACAGATCGATGCTCATGCTGTTGATCACTCACTCGTTCTAACTGTTGTTTACTGTTGAGGTAAATCATCTCAATTGATCTCTCTGAAGTCTGATTTTGTTTTCCAGTTCTCTTTGTGGTCATTTCATTGAAATGACAGATTTCACTAAGATGAATTTATTCCACTGTGTGTCACATTTTAATGTACATTGTACTTCTCCTTCAGTTGGGATGCCTTCTGTATACCAACAACTGTCATCCAGTTATGTGTTTCAAACCGCTCAAAGCTCTATTTAGACAGACGACCGTCTGATATTTAGGTGTGTTAGACAGTGTAAAGAATGCTTGCAATGCTTGTGTTAGTTTTCAACATATATGATACCAAACTCTTTATAAATAAGATGTTTTATTTTGATGTGATACTTCCCTGTGTGAATATCTGACAACACCTCGATGGAAGGTGATGTAAAGTGAACGTTGAGTGACCTTGAACTACCCATTCTCAATGACGGATGTCTGGGTTTTTGTGCCACTGAGATTCCAGCTTTTGGATGTGACATCATTTCTGAAACACCTCGATAAGACAAATCCAAAGTACACTTCCCTCATTAATACACCTTTTGGGTGGAGGTAGTATCATGAAACAAATGGTTGGGGAAAAATATTTACATTACTAATGTACTGGTTCATTAGTTTGCATTTTGATTCTGCTGCCATTCATTTCCAAGGTATGGAAAAGATAAACGCATTTCTGAACTCTGTTCACTCCATTTGAGAATGTAGAAGCTATGGTGAAGATTAGACAATTCAGCTGATGAGACTTTTAAAGGTGTGTCATCAAATTGCCGCTGAGAGAGGTGTTGTTTGAGAGTAAAAGATTTTTTAGAAAGGCTTTTAAAAAGGTTTTATGGAGACAATAATTTATGTAACTTGTTGATGAATAGATTATACACTACTCAGAAGAGCTTAAGGACGGGAAATAAGGTTTGCCTTAACTTCTATTGAGTAATATATGTTATATATATATATATACACCATATTGCAGATTGGTTTTCCTTATAATATATAGACAGTTAGACGGTGATATTATTCATCAAACTCAAGATTTGAGTTTACATAGTTTTATGTCCATGCTGTTTGATTTAGAAGTTCCGACAAAGAGACAGTTAGATGGTGAAATAATTCACCGAACATGATGATTTGAGTTTACATAGTTTTATGTCCATGCTGTTTTACTTAGAAGTCAGATCGTGTTCATGACTTGACTAAGTGCCAAAGAGACTGTTGTTATCATGTGATCATATTTGAATTCTATTTGAATGTTTGTTGAACAGTTCCTTGTTGAATATTTGAATGTGATTTTGTTGTCCCCCATTTTCATTATGCACAGTTTATGCAGTACTGTTCACTATGCAAGTCAATATATCATGGTTTGAAATTATCCTGTGTTTATAGAAATCCAAATGTGATATTCATTTTATTGATTTTCATTGATTGTACATAATGTCATTGAAATCACCATGCACTACAGAGTTGATACATGTGTAGGGCAACATAGCCACAAGACAAGCCCCAACCCTGAATATATAATGGTTTAAGAATACATGTTATACCTTAAGCTCAAAAGTAATTTGCATGAAGCAAGACATTAGTATATATTACTGTTTCAAGAGGTTTACGATTGTCAAGGCTGGGCCAATTGTCAATCCCAGTAGGTTTCATTGTTGAACTCCAGTTTCTTCAACGAATATATTTCTAGCGGAATACATATTATGCAAACTTGAGTCTTACATTTGGTTCGGTTTACGGGTCCATTGACTTAAAAATCTGTAGGTCAGAAGCAGTATCAGAATAACAAGGGTGTTTTTTCGCTGCCAAGGGTAAAGATCTCTCTGAACTATTAATGACTTATGCAAGTCTGTGTCAGATTTTAGGTTTATGATATTTCTAAGCACTAGTGTTGGGAATTGGTTGAAATCTCACAATTGATGATTGCTTCATTACCAATGAACAATCATCGAAAAAAATTGGTTAGCGTCATTTTTCAGAGTTTCCTATCCAGGTTGTTATTGCAGATAGGTGTAACATGTTGCAACTTGCTACATTAAAGTGATGACTAATATATCATAAACATAAACTTCCTGGAGTCTTCAAGAAATATTCAGTCAGGACTTTTCAGTTAGTGGAGTGAGTTTTCTAAGGAATAAACACGTTTTCAGGCCCTGACAACTTCTAAGATATGTTCCATTGTAAAGTATTTCAAAGACTAAAACAGTAGTTCCAAAATCGTTTATGTTCGATTATGAGAAAATGTGATCGATTGCTTGGTCGTTTGGTCACTGCGACCAATCTTCGATTATTTCAATTAATCGGACCACCACTACTAAGCATGTAAACCAGACCAAGACTATTCATATTTTCTTTTTTTCACCGAATGATCCAAACCAAACTCACGATGATTATAAGCAACCTGTACCAGGATTTCTTTTCAGTCTTGCGACCAATTTTTTCTTTGTCAAAATCTCTAAACCAAACAACAGTTGGTGTGTGTTGGTTCGACAATGGCTGCTCCACACACAGTATGCAGACCTTGACTAGAAATGGACACCAGACCATGAACCTTGACCTCCTTCAAGGACAAAGTTGTTTGGCTGAAATCTGAATAATCTACTGCCTTGGAGAAATTTCCTGCCCCAAGTTAATTAATTTTGTTAGCTCCAAGCCTTGGTAATGAACTTTCAATGTTTTTTCATGAGGGGTCAAGATCAATTTTTGTGAGTTTCAAGTAAATAGAATGCAGAATTTGTTTCAAGAAAATGTAATAAAAACTTTGAGGTTTTGGGTCATCAGCTGAGTGTGTAGTTGGAATGAATCTTTGATGTCAAGACCAATAGATGATGTCATCTTTAAATTATTTGCAAAAATGGCATGACATGTTGCCATGGGCTGCTTTGTACACAATGAATTTGGTGGAACTAGCAAAACATAATACTGTCTTGGAGATTTGAAA